AAAAAAAAAAAACACCATGGAAAGATCAGAGGTGAGACTTTGTGGAGAAAACATCCTACAGAATCACTGTTCCTCCCATCGCCACACCCAATCCAGGGAACCTTCAGACATGATTTCAGCATGTTAGAAAGTCCTGATGTGATTTTTCAGATAGTCAGACTTGAAACTGGATGCGGTTTTCAAGACTGCGTCAGACTTTTAAAGTTACACTCATATACAGATGGGAAGAAAATCATTGTATGAGGAAAACAGGTTCCTAAAATTCAGTCCCAGCTAAGCTCAACCAATCTAAAACTTGGTTAATTATTTTACCTGTTTGGAGGCTGCCCTATAAAAATGCTTTCTCCAAGACAGCTAACAAATCTTTAAATTTTAAAAATCCTATGGATTTCAATATGTCTGGTAGATTTAAAGGAGGCAAAATCTGGATCTAAGCGCTGTAATCTAAGCAATTTAAATTACTTCAGTTAGATGGAAATCTAAAATCTAAGTGCTGAGCTTCGAAACTGTACAGGTAGTAGGAATTAACATATTGTCAACTTTTCATTCTGCTTCTCTAAGAACAGTTGTATTGATCCCTGGGCTGTCTGTCTGTGTGTGTGTGTGTGTGTGTGTGCACGCGTATCATTCCAAGGCAGAGAAAAGGCTGCAAATTTGGAAGGAGAAATCTAATATCAGATTTCTATTCCTGTTCTCCCATCTGTTTCCCAGTTCAGCTGCTTCCATGCCAGCCGCCACCCTCTGCAGTGGGTCACCAAGACAAAATAACGACATGTGTATAGTGTTGTCATCGCACGAATCCTGCCCGTATGTCCTTCATCCGTGATATTTCATGCACGTACATGTTGCGGTATTTGCTTCCCAGCAATTTTTGTAACTTGTGTCCTGATAAGGGAAGCTGAACAACTGGAAAAGGGTGGGCAGAAACTGCACTGGAAGGATTCAAAGCTCAACCAGCTTGCCCCAATAACTTCAGTCCATGCAAAAAATAATTCCTGTTAGCAATTGATTCCCTTTGCTAGCAAGGAGATAGAAATATTAAGGGTCAAAATTTGAGAGATACTCTGTACGGGTAGTTCTCGACTTACGACAATTGACCCGAAGTTGATGTTGCTAAGTGAAAAATTTGTTGAGTGAGATTTGCCCCATTTTATGATTTTTCTTGCCACAGCTGTTAAGTGAAACACTGGAATTGTTAAATTAATAACACGGTTAAGTGAACCTGGCTTCTCCATTGACTTTGCTTCTCAAAAGGTTGCAAAAGGTGATCAATAACCCTGGGATGCTACAGCCGTCATAAATCTGAACCAGTTGCCAAGTATCTGAATGGTTGTAAGTGTGACAAATGGTCCTAAGTCACTTTTTCAGTGCCGTTGTAACTTTGAATGGTCACTAAACGAACTGTTGTAAGTGGAGGAGTAGCTCTACCAGCATTTCTTAAATTCAGCAACACTGAGATGTCTGGACTTCAACTCCCAGAATTCACAGCCAGCCATGCTGGGTTGGGGAATTCTGGGAGTTGACTGTCTATGGAGATTTTTTCTGGGAGTTGAAGTCCACACATCTGAAAGTTGCCGAGCTTGAAAAACAACAGCGTGATTTAAACTTGTGGTATCAATGTAATCCCTGGATGGCTAATATTTTGGAGATCAAACCAGTTTCTTACATCAATAGTGATGGACACGGTTTGATGAATTAGCAAGTGTTACTTCCTCCTAAGCTACAGTCAACACAGCAATAGCTCGTCCACTGATCATACTTTAATAAAGTAAGTGGGGTAGAAACAATGTTTAAGCACTTTGGATTGTGGTAGATGAAGCCGGAAAATCTTCCTATTTCCAAGAGTAGCAATTGGTTGCAACTCCATCGAAGGAGACTGAGATTCCAGGGGTATCTTGGCTCACACTAAACCTGCATGTAAGAAAAAAACTTTTGCAAGTTTTGTGCTTCTATTTATTTGTTTGTTTGTTTAGCAGTCTTGTTGCCTCTGCCTAAGCTTGACCTCACACTGCCAAAGATAAAAAGCCAAAGAACTTTGGTGTGGCAGCTGCATATTTATTTATATAATATTAATAATAATATGATGATAATAATGATGATGATGATGCCTCCCACTTGTATATTCCGCATAGCATGGTAATAATAATAATAATAATAATAATTAGTACCAATCAACACCTGGGCAATTCCAGTCATTAGATACACAGCTGGAATAGTGGACTGGACTCAAGCAGAACTAAAAGCCATGGATAGGAAGACCAGAAAAATAATGACAATGAATTATGCCCTTCATCCACGCAGTGACATTGACAGACTTTATCTACCAAGGCAAATAGGTGGGCGTGGAATGCTACAAGTACATCAGATGGTCGAAGAAGAAAAAATGGCTTTGGAAGAATATCTGAAGAACAATGATGAAGATGCACTGAAATTAGTATATCAGGAAGGCTTATTGACTACTGGAGAAACCAAACTGGCCTACAAAAAAGACCAAATGAAGAACAGAATAGAGGCATGAGAAGACAAAGCACTACATGATCAGTACGTTAAAAAAATAGCTGGAAAAGCAGATAATAACAAGACCTGGCAATGGCTAAGAGCAGGAAAATTGAAGAAAGAGACCAAGGGACTAATTCTGGCTACACAAGACCAAGCTTTAAGGACAAATGCATATAAAGTCAAAATTGAGAAGACAGCAACAGATAGTAAGTGCCGCCTATGCAAAGAAGCTGAAGAAACAGTGGACCACTTGGTAAGCTGTTGCAAGAAGATTGCACAGACTGACTACAAGCAGCGGCATGACAAAGTAGTAACAATGGTGCATTGGAAGATCTGCAAAAAATATCATTTGTCTGTAAGCACAAACTGGTGGGATCATAAAATAGAGAAAGTCATAGAAAATGATAAAATTAAACTGCTCTGGGACTTCAGAATTCAAACAGACAAGCACCTGCAACATAACACCCCAGACTTAACAATGGTCGATAAGAAAGACAAAAAAGTCTGGATAGTGGACGTGGCAGTGCCTGGAGACAGCAGAATAGACGAGAAAGAACTGGAGAAGATCACAAAATACAAAGACCTACAAATAGAAAGAGAAAGACTGTGGCAAAAGCAAGCAAGGGTGGTACCAATAGTCATAGGCTCCTTGGGTGCAATCCCAAAACAACTGGAGCACCACTTGAACACCATTGGCATTGACAAATTCGCTATTAAGTCAATTGCAAAAGGCAGCCTTACTAGGAACTGCTTCCATCCTGCGACGATATCTGTAATACCATCAAACATCCACATCTGTCTATCCCAGGTCATGGGTAAGGACTCGATAGGTAAACAAAATGCCAAATCCAGTCTGAACATCTGGCTGACTGCGATGATCCATAATAATAATAATAACTACTACTACTACTACTACTACTACTACTAGTAGTAGTAGGGAGGGATCTTGGAGGTCTTCTAGTCCAACCCCCCGCTCAGGCAGGAAACCCTATACCATTTCAGACAAATGGCTGTCCAGTCTCTTCTTAAAAACTTCCAGTGTTGGAGCATTCACCGCTTCTGGAGGCAGGTTGTTCCACTGGTTAATTGTTCTAACTGTCAGGAAGTTTCTCCTTAGTTCTAGGTTGCTTCTCTCCTTGATTAGTTTCCACCCGTTGTTTCCTGTCCTGCCTTCAGGCGCTTTGGAGAATAGCTTGACTCCCTCTTCTTTGTGGCAGCCCGATATTGGAACACTGCTATCATGTCCCTCCTCATCCTTCTCTTCATTAAACTAGACATACCCAATTCCAGCAATATTTATTTATTTGCTAGGCTGCCCATCTGTCAAGAGATTCTGGGCAGCTTACATCATCATAAAAACAAGCATACAAAAAATTAAACATTAAAATAAACAGAAATTAAGTAAGTTAACAACCACAATGGGAAAAGATGGAGATGGCACCTTTTTCCTAGTCCCACTAACCACGTCCAATCTGAAACGGCCATTGGGGGTCCCAGACTAATTGGCAGAACTAAGTTTTGAACCCCTTCCAGAAGGCCATGAGGGTGGGGCAGATCTCAGCGAGGGCATGATGTTCCAGAGCAGACATGTTAAACACAAGGCCCGTGGGCTGCATGCAGCCCACAAAGTGGTTTCATGTGGCCACAAAGCCATCCTGGAAACAGTGAGGAAACAGCCCCCACTGTCTTGGCCCTGGCCCAGGCCGGCCGGGAGCCAATGTACAATTTTGTGGTGGCCATCTATGCTGAGATGCATTCAATCTTAGCTCCACAAGGCCGTCTGGAAATAGAGAGGAACCAGCCCCTGCTGTGTTGGCCCCACCCCCTGGGTGCATGTTGGTGAGGTGTCACTCTTTGTGAGGAATGAAGAAATGCACCATGCCTTGGCACTTGCCCTGGTCCCACCCCCTTCTGCCAGAGACCCTCAGATCTGTCCCACTCCTGCCCGGGCCTCCACAGGAACCCTTGACGCGAACGATGTAGAGCCGGCCATGACCACCCAGTAGGCCACACCCACTCCATCCACACCCATCAATAGGCCGCACCCACCTTGGCCATCCCCCCAGGGCAACCGCAATGCTGATGCGGCCCTCAATGAAATTGAGCTTGACACCCCTGTTCCAGAAGATGTAGTCGTGGCAGAAATGTTTCTTCTTCTAGACCCCACTAGCCAGAATTCCTGGACTGTGGGGATCCACAGCATGCCCTTTCTGCCAGAATGAATGGTGGGCCAATCTCTTTGGAGTGAGATGGCTCCTCAGATATCCTAGAGTCTAGACCAGTGGTTCTCAACCTTTTTAATGCCACGACCCCCAACCGGTCGTAAGTCGAGGACTACTCAACTGGTGCAGCACCTTTTGCAGAATAGGACTTTTGGCAGGCTCAGCAGGGCAGAGACAGCCTGGACAATTCCTATTGGCTTCTGAAAGCCAATAGAATTAGACTCTATTCAAGAGAGTCTATTCTATTGGCTTTCAAAAGCCAATAGAATAAAAGGGAGTAGCACAGCTAAGGAAAAAGGGGGAAAAAATGGCGGACTGCATTGTTTGGTGACCCCCATGAAATGGTCGTTGGACCCCAAATGGGGTCCCGACCACAGGTTGAGAACCGCTGGCCTAGACCCATGCATGAAAGTCTTTAAAGAACCAACACCTCAAAATGGGCTCAAAAGCAAAGTGGCAAAAATGCCACTCAGACAACAGTGGCTTATGTGGGCCACCCTAAGGGCCCCTAAAACTTTCTGCTCTGCTGCATTTCATGCTAGCTGAATATTCTGCATACTCTTAAATGGATAGTCCCATTGCAGCAGTCAAAAAGGCTGAGATGACCAGGTTATCAGTGACTAAGAGCGTTTTGAGTGGCCAAAAATAAACACCTCCATCGAATAATGAGCATCGTCTGTGAACATCTGTTTAAAGGGAAACCAATGTTCTTCTTTTGAAGAGAGCCACAAAAATCGCAATATCCACCCTTGGGGGAAAAAAAACAAAAACGCGCGGGAGCATTCTGGCCACCTTTGACCGCGGGCGCCTCCCGCAGATTGTGCCAGCTGCGCAGCGGGCAGGCGTATCTGGCGGCGGCGCGCCGTCCGCCGCGATTTCCCTGTTCCAGACCAGCCATACGGGGGGAGGGAAGCATGGCTTCGTCCTCGCGGGTCACCCACCCATGCCCAGTCCAGAGATCTCCGGAGGACTTGGGGAAAGCGCTGGGTACACCGCCTACCCAGCACCTCCGGTGGATTCCTTCCAGATCTGGCCCCGCCGCCGGGCAATACCCGGGACTCAGACCGGACAGCGCATCGGCTAGGGCCGCCGAAGGGTGTCCTTCGAGGGGTTGTTTTGCGGAGGTTCGCGGAGGTCTCCGGCGGCCTTGGCCACAGGGAAGAGGCGCGGAAGGCGGCGAGGGGCGTGCGCGCGCGTTGTGACAGGGCTGGCCGGGAGAAAGTTGCCTTTTATGAGCGTGCACTTCCTGTTAGCTGCCTCTCCGCCTCCTCGGCGGCTAGGAATATATTTACACACACACAGGTTTGCACCTCCCTCTCTGGGCAGGGTTTCCTCGCTTTCCCCCTCGTTTCTTTTCCTCTTGTTTGTGCCGTGGCGGCTGTCAGATTCACCTCTTGCACGCCGGAAAGCGGCTGGTGCAACCGCGGAGCCTCTGCGCGCTCCCTCCCGTGGCTGCCTGCCAGCTGCACCCGCTTGCCCGGGAATCAGCCGACGTCTCAAGGAGGATTGCAACGCCCTTGCCCCGCGCCCGCTGAAGAAAGGGGGCGCGCGATTTGCAGCCTGGCCCTGCGGGGGCTCGGGCTGCGTTTGCACGCCCTCTTTGCAGCCTCTTTGCACGAGGCGCTTTCTGGCGCTTTCCGTGCGCGCGCGCCGACTCCAGGAAGATGCCTGTCTGGAAACTTTAGTAGCTTTCCGGGAAATTGTGGCGGATTCTGGTTGTGCAGCAACCTCGGTGTCCCGCCATTGGGATCGCGTTCGTCCAGCCCGGGCATCCAGGGGTCCAGCTGGCGGACGATGAGCCGAGGCTCCTCTGGCCTCTTCTCTCACCCATCTTTTGGCCTCCGAAGCCCGAGCAGCGGCCAGCAAACTTCCGCCGTTTTTTGATAGCTTTCTGCTCACATCCAACTCAGGGGGTCCGAGCTTTTGCAGGCGAGTGGAACTGGCCGTAGACAGACAGCCTCTGTTCGCATCTCTGCGATGGGAAGCACGGCCATGGACGCCAAGAAGAAAGATGCCTCGTCTGCTAAGAAGAAGGACGCCGGCCAGAAGCGACGCATGTTGCGTGTTCACATCCCCGTAAGTCTGCTTGCTGGCTGTGTTCACCGGACAGGGTTAGCTACTGTTCTCCGTTTGCTCCGTTCGCACGGCGTTCAGATCCGCAAAGGGCTCTGCGCAGACCGCAGGCTAAATCTGATTGGCTAGTTGCTGGTGAGTGGTGGGAACGCAGCCCTGCTTTGCCCCAGAGCGGTGGGCAAGAAGTTGGGAGCTGTTCTTTTGAATGCTTCTCCAGATCACCTGTGCAGAGTGCAGCGTGAAATCTGTTTTTTTTTTTTTTTTGGCAGCAGCAGCAACAGGTTGGGGGTGGGGCAGAAAGGAATGTGTACAAGCCTGTCACTTAACAGCGCCATTGGGGGGGGGAGACGTTGGGGGGAAGAGAGGGAAAGGGTGTGAGAGCAAGGCAAGGGATCCACTGAGCCGGCATGTTTTGGAAGAAGCCTTTTTCTAATTGTTTTACTTCTCTTTGTCCTCTACTTACAGCAATTCTTTTAACAACCATTCAAAATTACAATAGTACTAAAAAAAGTGACATGACCCATTTTCACACTTATAACTGTTGCAGCATCCCCACAACCAAATTTAGCAATTGACTCATAACGGTTTTGGTGTCCCAAAGGGCCATGTGATCACCTTTTGCGACCTTCTGACAAGTGAAGTCTATGGGGAAGCCAGATTCACTTAATGACCATGTGATTCACTTAACCACTGCAGTTATTCAGTTAACAACACTGGCAAGAAAGGTCGTAATATGAGACAAAAGGGGTTAAAAACTGCCTTGCTTAGCAACGGAAATTTTGAGCTCAGTTGTGGTCATAAGCCAAGGGCTACCTGTAATGCATTCTTCAAATGTGCTGCCATTACTCAGAAGCAAGATCCATCAGCAGTTCAAGTTGACTGAATCTGTTGTTGAGTGGTGAGGGTGGTCTTGATGGCCTTGCATTGCCCCTTCCAGGTTCTGGTCCTAGCTCAGTTTCCATAAAGTTGGAGCTCGCAGTATCCCAGAAAGATGGTTTGGCCTTGTAGGACTGGGAAATTTGACCCCCTCACATACACGTAAGCATACATACACATGGACACAGAGATGCATAGAAACACAGATAGATGCAGAGTTCCACATATATTTAAACCATTTTTTAACCTTGATTACACACATCTAATGATGACCTCACTCAGTTGAATTAAACATTAAAATGCTGCTTTTCTTCCTGGTGTTTACTCTGGAGAGTGCCTTGACATTCATACAACCCCAGTAGGAGGGATTCAGAAATACTTTTAAAATGGGTAGGAAGAGGGAAGTGCCTACAAGACAAGGGAAAAAAAAAACTTTAAAACGTGTTCTTAGTTTTGGATAGCAAGCTAGGAATTAGCAACTTTTATATCTTGTAGGTGCCTACCATGCACCCTATTTGCAAACTAGGATACCCTTCAGGAATGTTGACCATTTTTACAAAGTCTACCTTTTCATCTCATGGTATGCAAAGCCTGGCGTCGCCTTTAAAAATTTAAGGGGTTTTTTAAAAGCCTTCAAAAGACTTGCTTGGTAAAGAGATCTGAAGGTGTTAAGCAGATCAGCTACTGAAGGAACCCTACAAGTGCTCTTCTTTCTCTTTGCACATTGTAAAGCAGAATAAAATATCCTGCAGTTGCTGTTTCTTCCATGGTACAATCAAATCTTGAGATCAGATCAAATGGATTTGAATCCCTGGATTGCATACCGGTAGGTGGTTGAAGGACAGCTGGACCATAAGAATGGGTTCATCAAGGATGGGATGGGGAACTATGGCCCCTTTATGACCTGTGGACTTCAGCTCCCAGAATTCTGAGCATGGCTGGCTCAGGAATTCTGGGAGTTGAAGTCCAAAGGTCATCAAGAGACCATAGTTCCTCACCCCTGATCTAGGATCTCTAATAGATGGACCCACACCGAAGACCCTAAGGCAGGAGCAGGTAACTATGGCAACTATAGAACTTGTGGACTTCAACTCCCAGAATCTCTGTGCCAGCATGGGAGCTGAGCCATCCTGGGAATTCTGGGAGTTGAAGTCCATATGGGTCATAAATTTGCCTTAGCTGCCCACCTCTGGCCTAATGGAAGAAGTGATTGTACATGGAATGAAGCTAATGGACGTTTCAGATTACAAAGCTCTCCCCAGTCTGAACTATTTTTGTTGGTAGATATGAAAATAAGCAGGAAAAATGGGTTGTAGGCTTTTAGGGACTTCTCTCCAGGTAGGCCTCAACTTACAACCATTTGTTTAGTGACTGTTTGAAGTAACAAAGGCCATGAAAAAAGGGGCTCACACTCACACGGTCACAGCAACTTCGGCACCAGTGGCAACTGGTAGGTATTTAAAATTATTTGCAGCGTCTCTGATCACTGTTTATGTCCTTCCCAGCCAGCTTCCAACAAGCAAAGTCAATGGAGGAAGTTGGATTCACTTAACAACCATGTGATTCATATGCCAGCTGCAGTGGTTCGTTTAATAACTGTCAGAAAAAAGGTAAAATTGGATGTTACTCATGTAACAACCACCTTGCTTAACAACAGAAATTTTGGTCCCTATTAGGGTTGTGAGTTGAGGACTAAGTGTTCTAGGCTTGTAGTCAAAAGACAATTTATCATCTCCGTTATCCTTCATTCAGTTTAGATCACTTTTTTCCTATGGGGGCTCAAGGGAGCTTACCTGGGTGTCTCTTCATTTTATCTCCAAGTTGGCTCTGAAATTCATGGGCTCCAATAGATTCATTCAGCCATTTGGGAATTTGAATCTGGGTTTCTTTTGCCCATCTTAGTCGAACATCTGAACCACCCATGGTTCAGTGATGGACCATCAGAGTGACCCCTTGTGGCCAGAGTTAGAAAAATAGCCATTTTCAGGGTTTAGGTTATAATGTAAGGGGGACCATTTCCATATCCTGTATAGTAGAGAGGCAATGAAAGTGGAAGGGAGCTTGAAGGTCATCTACACCAACTCTTCACTCGGGACCAAATCTACAGTGCAGAATTCAGTTATAGCTATCATAACAGACCAACATCCCCCTCTGTTTAAATACCTGCAGGGTAGGATAAGCCACTTTCTATCCCAGTCAATCCTGTGGTCATGGCACTTGCTGTAACCTTTCCAAATAATTGGAGGGCACAAACTCATCTCCAGATTTGATGTTTCTCACCCACATGCTTTTTTTTTGAGTGGGCTAGGGGTGCTTCTGTGAATCTTTACAGAGCAATTCCCCTTTCTTGGTATTCAACTATTGCAACATGAAATTTAATGAAAAAAGTATTGGCAGAAACTATGCACATTATGGCAGTGGAGATTAACATGTACTTCTGGTATGCTGTTACATAATTTTGGGGAAGTGAAAGCTAGTTTATCCATTGGCAAAAGTGAATGGTGACACGTTTTGTATCAGACATGCATGCTTGAAAGTTTGTCCAATAACTCTTAAAAAGAAGGACTAGAGGTGACATGATAGCAGTGTTCCAATATCTCTGACTGCCACAAAGAAGAGAGAGATCAACTTATTTTCCAAAGCACCAGAAGGCAAAAACAAGAAGCAATGGATGAAACTAATCAAAGAGAGAACCAACCTAGAACTAGATCAGTGGTTCTCAACCTTTTTAATGCCGCGACCCCCAACCGGTCGTAAGTTGAGGACTACTCAACCGGTCGTAAGTCGAGGACTACTCAACTGGTGCAGCACCGTTTGCAGAATGGGACTTTTGGCGGGCTCAGCAGGGCAGAGACAGCCTGGACAATTCCTATTGGCTTTTGAAAGCCAATAGAATTAGACTCTATTCAAGAGAGTCTATTCTATTGGCTTTCAAAAGCCAATAGAATAAAAGGGAGTAGCACAGCTAAGGAAAAGGGCGAAAAAAAATGGCGGACTGCGTTGCTTGGCGACCCCCGTGAAATGGTCGTTCGACCCCAAATGGGGTCCCGACCCCAGGTTGAGAACCACTGCACTAGATAGATAGATATGTAGGTAGGTAGGTAAGTAGGTAGGTAGATAGATAGATAGATAGATAGATAGATAGATAGATAGATAGATAGATAGATAGATAGATAGATAGATAACCTTTACTGTCATTTTTTATTGTGGGCACATAATAAAATTTAGTTTCTTGCTGTCAGGTGTAGACATACATAACACACATTTAAACATGCTCTATACAAAATATGTATAAGCCTACATCCTTACATATAAATAACATGTAAATATTAATCACTGTCCATCCTGAATACATAACGGAAGGAGGACGCTTTAGAGTTCACAAGGTTAATACTGTATGGAACTAAACTGGGACTGAATCTGGATATTCTGCTTCGGATACCACGGAGCCTTCTTCTCCTAGAAGGTAACAAGGAAAACAGGTTGTGAAGAGGATGGATAGTGTCCCAGACAAGTTTGTGGATCCTGCTCAAGCATCACTTACATGCTGTGTCCTGGATGGAAGGGAGTGAACTGCCAATGATCTTTTCTGCTATCCTTACTACTAAACAGAACTTTCTTAACAGTGAGAACAATCAACCAGTGGAACAGCTTGCCTTCAGAAGTTCTGGGTGCTCCAATACTGGAGGCTTTTAAGAAGAAACTGGACAGCCACTTGTCCGGAGTGGGATAGGGTCTCCGGCTAGAGCAGAGAATTGGACTAGAAGACCTCCAAGGGCCCTTCCAACTCTGATGATAATGTTCTTTGCAACTTTAACGCTTGTGGACTTCAATTCCCAGAATTGCGCACCAGCCATACAAGTCTTAAAGTTGTCAATGTTGGGCACTCCTGATTTATACTTTGGTTCTGTATCCATCAGTTTATTGACTTCGCCTACTGATCAATCAGTGTGGCTATCCACTCAGATTATAATCCCTGCAGAATGTAAATATACTTTGAAAGAGTGGAAGAGAAGGCCTAAAAACATCCTTAATAATTCTTGATTTGTCCTAGTTGCAATTTGAGAAATGGTCTTGAAGGCATAAAATTTGCTCTTTATCACCAGAATATGGATCCATCCATCTCAAACCCTCCTCAACCAGATTGGTTCCCAATGAGTTAAAATACAATTTATGGCTGAGTGAACATGATTGATGGCTGTGATGGAAAAGATTTATGCTTCTGGAAAGCATTGATTGGGGAAAGTTAGCCGGCTTAG